GAGCTCGAATAACGACGAGAACACGCGTAAGGATGATGAGTAAGATTGAAAAACACAAATATGATTATTGATTCTTTTTGACAAACCTGAGGGCACAGGTTTCTGTCAGACTAAAGCTTCACTGCTAGTCTTTGACGAGAAACAAGAACAGACCTAAACAAAACAATCATCAAAGAGAGATAGAGAGAAATAACATAAACAATCAGAAAGATAATCCAGAGTTTTAATCAAAAGTAAAAGATTTCTACCTGCAAGCTCGAATAACAACGAGAACACGCGTAAGGATGATGAGTAAGATTGAAAAACACAAATATGATTATCTTGTGTGAAAAGTTAGAAATAGATTGAAAGATTAGTTATAACAATTTGACCGAGCACAAGTAAAATAAAAAGAAGATGAAAATTGACTCACTGATTCTTTTCGATGAGGAAAAGAATCAGAGCGAGAGGGAGAAACGAGACACAACAAGACATATAGCAATTCTAACAAATCCATTACCCCTTGATTGATGTCTAACCGATCTGCACCCCTTTGTACAACCAACAACTTGCTTTGAATTACACACTAGCCTAACCGAACATTGAACGCTTCAACTGACCAACTTCAATTTCCTTATTCGTAAAGATCTTTGACCACTACAATAAGATAGTATCTTAACATGAACAACACCGCAGCAAACTTGAACATGAACTCCAAGAATTCATACTCAAGATGGGTAAACTTATCCTGTCCAACCCCAATTGCTTCAAATTGATTGCTCATTATTGCAACTCCACACAGAGATTTGCAAATTGATGGACCTGGTCAAAAGCCACACACCAACCCCTTCCACCAAACAGACTCCAACTGTAAAGGACTTGAATTGTCCTCACTAAGACGGTGTTCTTCATTCAAATCTACGGGCTGAGGGAACTGAGAATCTCAAATAGAGATCTCGGACTGATTTATAGAATCAAAGTGCAGGTTTTATCTCTAACTACAAAAGGACAATAATCTAGATCAGTCTAGATTCCCCAAGGAATACAGTATATATGATAAAAGGAAATAGAATATATAAACACAGTGTCATTTTACTAGTCACTGGCAGGCCAGTGAGTTCCATTCACCTCAATCCAATCTCAATTCAATGTCAGTCCAATATCAGTTTGAACTCCAATTATGTTTGAGTGGGGACTATGCATGGGCTGCATAATCTCTCAAACCTTCCAGATATTCTGACACCTTTATGTGTGGACATGCAACCAAACTTTATTCCAGTTCATTCTGGAAGGTTGTTTGTCTGCTACTCTAGGCCAAACATTGAGATTGGATTGATATTGAACTGACATGGATTTGGGATTGGATTGAGATTGGATTGAGGTGGATGTACTCACTGGCCTGCCAGTGAGTAGTAAAATGACACTGTGAGATAAACCAATTGTGCTCACCTAACTCCAAAAGTACAATATTCTAGATCAGTCTAGATTCCCTAAGGAGTTAGTAATGTGCGCTGAGAATGAAATGAAAAGGTCATGCAATTTTGTATAAGGCTATGTGGTAGTAATATATTTGTAATGGAGTTGTCTACGACATTACACCAACCTCCAGATCTGCCTTAGCGGTTTTTTTGCTTTCTCCCTACTTCACCGCCCTATTCCCCATTTAAACCAATATCACACATGTAACCTAGATGAAACAGCCAACAGCAAACCTTTCCTCTGACACAGCCAGAGGGATTTTACTAGTGCTGGACATATAAGAGTGTTTGATAGCCTGAGGGCTACAAAAATACTTAAAACAATGAAAAAAAGGCAAATATATAAAGATTCAACTAAATCAACTCCTTGAGTCAGTTAGACCCACTTGAGTTCTGTGTTGCTGAAGCTTCTAGGAAATAACAAAACCTGAGGGCACAGGTGAACACGTAAGACTAAAAGCTTCAGAGCTTTTCTACAACAAAGGACATCAAACTGACCTGAGGGCACAGGTGAACGCATAAAACTAAAAGCTTCAGAGCTTGTCTATGACAAAGGACACCAAACTGACCTGCAAGCTTGAAAGAATTGAAGAGCGCGCGTGTAGGTATGTGTAGTGATGAACAGACAGTAAAATGATATTGATTCTTTTTGATAACACACCTGAGGGCACAGGTGAACACGTAAGACTAAAAGCTTCAGAGCTTGTCTACGACGAAGGACACTAAACTGGCCTAATAGTGGTTCAGGTCCAAACAAGCGAGTGAAACATAAAAGAAGATTAGAACCAAGACTTGATAAAGATGAGTGATGAAAAACAAACTAACCGCAAGCTCAAAAGAAATGAAGAGCGCGCGTAAAGGTATGTTTAGTGATGAACAGACAGTAAAATGATATCTGAACACGTAAAGACACAGATCATACATAATCAAAAGCATTAGTGAAATGATAACTTTCCCAGTTGATAAGGAGATCACTTACCGATTCTTTTCAATTAGGAAAAGAAATCCAAAAGTGAGAGAAAGGTTCAAGTATATAAGACTCAAAAACCAGAAACAAAAATACCCCTTGATTCCATACACCCAAGTAAACCTTGATTCACAACCACACTGCACAATACACACATCATCCAGCTTGCCACATCAAGTAACGGTCTTTGACTACTACCAATATAACTCTAATATCTTAACAAATCTCGCGAAACAATTCGAAACAAATGTATCATTGTTCCAAGGTTGATAATTCAAAAAACGCTTGGACAAGATTTCTTAGCGTATGGGGACAAATTCTACATTCGACAAAGCAACATGGAAATGTTTCCATAATTTTTTAGAAAGGAAAACGCCCGAGAACCCAACGCAAATCTTAGTGAGAATTTTTACCAGACTCAAATGAATAGACCTGGCTATTCAACTTCAAACAGACCTTTCTAAACTTCCAACAATATTCTAACAGAGCAAATAATGAGATGAAATATAATCAAGTCCATGTAGATAAAGAGTTTTTTTGATAATTTGATAATTGATGATGATATAGAAAACAAATCTTGGGTTGACACCAAAACTAAAATGTCTTAACTGAATAGTCGAACTTTATCTATCAAAGACTAAGGAATGACTATGCTGAATGATGATTGGCCTCCTACTTCTTAGAATTGCTCCAATTCGTGGTGTTCTAAGCAAAGCGAGTTCCATAATCTGAAGCTTGGAGTAGAATTTAAGTGTTTTAAAATATGAAGAATGAGGCTAGATCATGATATGAAATTTAAATCCAACATTGAGTCCGTTCAAAACAAATCGTATCAGGTTTGATAAGTAATTTTATGTAAATGAAGTGAATCTTCTGAGACCGGCTAGCAAGATTCTACTTTATATAGTAGCAAGTACATGTTATCAACTGTTCTTTGAAGTTATGCATCTTCCACCCAAACTTGGTTTCTCTTTGAACAAATTTCCTCGACAGAAGTACTACAGATCGGGCACCTAAATGAAGTCCTCAACCAAACCTAAAACAATCAAAGACAGATCGAAAGCAGACGAGAAGCAGTTTGAGTCAGTTCACTAAGCCAAAGATGAAAAAAAAATCAAAGCAATGGAACTTTTGACGTACCTCTACACAAGTAGTATGAAACTCATGATTGTCAGAATCATAACAAGGAAATTGAGAAACCGATTGACCAGATTTGAATTCTTCATGACAAATCAAGCAAAGATCAAGTGAATGATGATTTCTATTTGAGAATCTAAAAACTTTGTGATTCAAGTAGTCCATGGCTGTTTCAATTACCGATTCGTCATTTTGTTGCATAGATTGTTGTGAGTCTTGTAATTGTGTTAAAGCATCACTACCTGATGGGCCAGGTGTCATATCACGAACTCTGACTGTGTTCTGAAGTAATTTGGAAGCGAAATCAATAGCAGTCATTTGATGATCATCGGAAAAGATTTGATGTTCTTCTGGATATTGATAGATGACTGATTGAATATCTTGAAATAATCTAAATACTAATTCACGTCTTTCATTGATAAAAGCTGTTTCTGCTCGTTCATAAGACCCTAGTTTGTTTCCGAATCTGATTAATAACTCCCATAATATACTTGGTTCAACTTCGGGTGTTTCGGATCTTGTTCTTTTAGACATGGTGAATGAATTTTAAAAGGTAAGACTATTTAAATTTTGATCTTGGATGTGTAGTGTGATGAGGATTATGAAGTGTTGGTGGTTGTTTTAATGATGTGGTTGGTGGTGGGAGAGAAGTCGCGCTTTGGAAGTGAAGTCGCGCTTTGGAAGTGAAGTCGCGCTTTGGAAGTCAAGTCGCGCTTTGGAAGTGAAGTCGCGCTTTGGAAGTGGAGTCGCGCTTTTGTACCAAAGATCAACCTGATCAGCACCATTTGTCAAATAGCTAACATATACATATACATTACGACAATTGTTGAAAGATCACATTTATAATAGCACTACGACTAGCACTACCACGATCAAGTCAAATTCCGAAGCTGAGTACGACTTTTCAGATCACATTTCCCCCAAAAAATTGACACAACATTTTTTCTGATCCAAATCAAAATTAATCTCAACATCTTACTCATCTTATCTAGTCCCATCAGAACACCTTTACAAATTTCAATCACTTCCTGAACACTCTTGACATGAAGAAGATTAGTCCTGAGCATTCTGAAACGCGAAAACAAAGCGTAGCTGTAAATCTTAACGACTTGGCCATCTTCAAAAGCAAGATGAATTCAGTCTTGATTAACTTGAAAGCCAGCGTTTGGAGACTTTTAAGATGGATCGCTAATAATTTGTCATATTATCAACTTTAGTAAACGTCGTCGCTTCTTTCGTGTTTGGTGTGAACTTCGGACCCCAATTCTTCCATCAGAAAAACTGCTTGTCAACTTTGTCACCCGCATCCCCTAGAAGTATTCAAAATCCAGCTCCTCTACCGGAGCACTTGTTCCAGACATCTACCAAGCAAGTTGATCAGATGGGACGGTTGTATTCATTCATGGTCTCGACTCTCCCGACTCATCTCACGGACACCAATGGCAAGGGACATTCTTATCGACCCTTCAACGACCACTCGACTCTCAACGCATTGGAAACTCATACTTCCTAAAGCTCCAATCATTCCATTTACTGTCTATTCAGATCAACCCAATGGAGGAGCGCGACCTGTATGGTTCAACATCAATGACTGGAGGGACTTGAACTATCTTGAAGAGGAGGATGAATTGATGCGAAGCTGTATTCATGTCGAGCAAGTCAGAGAATCGAAGATGCAAATGAACAAGACTATCATCGCGGGCTTCAGTCAAGGTATGTAGACATTATCATTTCATCACACCCTCTTTCGGCTTTTTATCTGTACGTTGATGAATACTGATGTGGGTTCTTTTCGAAAAATCCTAAATCGAATAGGTGCCGTGATGACCCTCCTTACTAGCTTGACATTGCCTGAGCGCCCCGCTGCAACATTGATGCTGCTATGTCCTTTCCTCGTCTTGAATACAGAGTTCAAATAGTTTCTGACTTTTTCTTTTAGAGTCGGGCTATCTGCCTTTACCCTTCAGGCTACCACTCCTGCTTTCAACTGTTCCCGGGTTCCATCGACCAACTGCCTTCTACTGGATTCACGGGACTACACGAAGTTTTAACATACAACGCTGCAAACACCGGTTTGAACTTTTTACGAAGGATCTCTCAAGAAGCATTTGAGCGAGCAAAATTCAAGACCATCGCTGGATTAGCACATGGCTTTTGGGAGAATGAACAGATAGCAGTAACCAATTGGATTGAAGGCATCGTAGATCAAGATACTACAGGAGAATTCGATGATTCATTAGATAATTTAGACCAGCCTGAAAACGAGTTAGATGATCCTCAACATCCAGTTCAACACTCGATATCTTTCAGTGTCTGCTTGGGATGATCAACAAGGACCGGAGAATACGGGAAGATTCAACATCACATCCAGTCGAAGGAAACCGACGCTCAACATCTTCAAAGGCAATTGAAGGAAATGAAATCTGATCAGTTATTTCCAAGCCTTCAAAACCTCTCGTCTTCTGGATAGCATGTTATAAGATCTTTCCCCGGCTCGTGATATATTGCTATGATAAACTGTAGAGATGAAATATGTTACGCGCGATAAATAGGTAGAAGTTAGAACGCGAATGAGTTGCAAAAGTTATAGAGATATTTTTTGCTGAGCTTCGAAATCTTGCGAAATTGCAGGGTACATATGTAGATCGGACTTTGAATCCTTGTAAAAGCATCGTCCAGCCCACATTATGCTTGTATTCAAACCCTTTCGTAATCCCAGACGAGGTCTCCCACGTGCTGCCCTGCGGCTAACGCGACCTGTCCATACATCGACATCATGCCAATTAGCTTGAGGGCTTGTTCAAGCTAATCATGCCAAGGTCCACCAGTCCTCATCCCTTGATTCCCATTCACGCTCCTTCGACGCTCATTGCAACAAGCAACACGCAACCTCTAATGTTCAACTTTATCAACTTCCTTTCTTGAGTCAATCACTTTCCCATTTTTTTATTGAACTGGCAATACACTGACTTACCTGTCAACAGGGGATTCTGAAAAAAAACTGATATCAGTTTCAAAAGCTTGGTGATTTTTGAATTCAATTCTTGCATTTAGGAGCGGGTTGATTGGTTTTTAGGACTGATTCTTTGTTGATTTGAGCACAAGTGATGGTTTGACATGCAATATCATCTTTTAGTGAGTTTGATTCAATCAACTGCAAGACTTACTCTTGGTTGCTGACATGAATACACATAGAGGGACTTTGGACCCCTCAGCATGGGGTACCAGCTCATTCAGGACCATGCCAATGTCAAGCAAATAGATCTGGTTAGTAGTTGGTATTCTGGTAAGGTACAGTCCATCTGTAATCTAGTTTGAGCAAGACCCATTTATTGGAGTTGCTTTCAGATTCAGATGACTTTTGTGGTTCCTCGAGCATTGAGGATATGCACACCCATGCTTATTTTGGAATGGGACTTTGTGGCATAACTGGGTGCACCCACAGTATGACTGCAGATGGATAGGTGATATCACAACAGCCAGTCTTGCCCCCCAGGAGGTAGTAGAGACACACCTGTGGTGTTGAGTTCCCAAGGAGCCCAGAAAGGCACTATAGGGCACTATGGTACTTTTAAGGAAATCCCAGAGAGTCAGGCGGTGGGCAACACCAGAAAACTCACAAAGTAAGGGATGGCACACCCCCAAGGCTATACCAATACATAGATTGGTTTACAACCATCTGTGATCTCCAATGACTTCTCAGTCCTCTTCAAATTCTCATCAGAAAAGCTTTGTTTTGAATTGAAAAAGTTCTGCTATTGATGTTTTTTGAGTGAAATTGAGTTTTTCAAAATTTCTGCTCTTCTATCACCACATCTTGATTTCTGCTTTCATGAATGAATTTCTCTGGCTTTTCTTTTTTTTACTCCTTTTTTCCCTTTGCTACTTAGATGTAGCAGGTTCTAAATGGAAGAGCTGTGTGTCTCACTTTTTCAATGTTACAGCCAACACGTTCACATGATAGCTGTTCTCAAAATCAAGTCATGATTTGTATACTTTTTGGCTCACAAGGCGCGCCCACCCGCCCCTCGGTGTTTGGGCGCGCACTTGACAACAAGGGTTTCGCACCTATGTGCGGCCCCGATTTCAACATCGCGCCCACCACTGACTGGAGAATCACATGTCGGATACTTGTCGGATATTCCCTATCCGATGGGTATGATCGGATCAACCATCAACTCTGCAATCTGCCGTGCCAACTGTCCACTCACACCAAACTTGAAATCAGCTCATTCACTTCAAAACTTCAAAACATCCATCACCCTCAAGAACCTCAAGCCGATCAAGTCAAACCATGCCACTCTATTCATTAACTTGTCTAGCATTACATTATCCAACTTATGCACCTTTGCGAGCATTAGTTCATACTTCTACTAGCTTGGTACATAAGAATGGAGGATTGGTTAGAAAGATTGATTATCTTGGGAAACGGAATACTACTCAAAGGATTAAAGCTAATTCAATTCAAGGTGGAGTAGATGAAGCTGAGTAAGTGATCACGTTTTCTTTTGAATTTCGAAATCATCCTTGGGTTAACTTTTTTTTGTGTTTTTCGTAGTTATTGGACCATGATGTTTGATGCAAATCCTCCAACAGTTAAAGAATTAACAGAAAGACTAAGAGTAGATCCAAGAGTACTAAGGTCAACCAATTCCCCCCCACCAAAAAAACCAAACGATTTCCTCAACCTTCACACTATCAAAACTGATTTTTGATTTTTTCTTTTTTTTGGATTTAGACATACAACCTTATTAGTAGGAAAAAAATTATCAGAAGTCATGAAACCTCAATGGAATTTAACTTTACAAGAATCGATAAATCTACCAAATGAAGATCTTAAACTTGAAATCCATCAACGTGCACTTGATCTTCATTCTACTAATTCTTCTAAACCTTCACCACTTTCTTTTTTCTAATCACAATCGAATCGATTCTCGAAAAACACACACACACACACTTGACGATTTAATCGATCATTGATGAAAGGTTGTTTTCAATGATTTAAAATTCGGTTAATGATCAAGACATGGAGAAAGATATTTTAGAGAAAGATTGATCGATCAAAGGATGCGAAAGAATCTGATGTATAATAATCACCGAACCTCATGTCTTCAATGCTCATTCTGCACATATACCAACTATCTATAGCAACATGAATTCCAATATCAAGGCTTCATCTCATTGATTCTGAACAATCAAAGCACAAAACAAATGGATAGTTGCACTTTGATTGATTGACTCTTTGGTTTTAATTTGTCATTATCAATCAATTTTTCCTTTTCTGAGAATCTGTTCTTGATAGTTCTTTTACATTGTCATACCTTGATCTGTTTGATCAAACTTTCATCTAATCTTGATCAATGACCATGAATTCCAAGTTTTACTCCAACTTTTTCTACAGAGATTAATCTTATTGATTGATAGTTTCTACCTTGTAGCAAAACAAGTTAAGACTTCAACTGTGAAACCAGTTGATCCCTAGTCATAGGGATGAAAAACTGTTTCTTCAATTTACCACTCAACGTGAACTCTTTGAAGGTTCATTCCTTGTTCCACTCGTGGTAATAGAACATTGTAAAGGAAGAAGAATATCTTAGGGGCATATCAAAAGCTAAGTGAGATCTCTCAGGAGCTCATTGTTTACAGATCATCTCTCTTCGAATGATGAAAAAAAGTTCATGAATTTTTTTGGTTGGTAAGAGTCAGACTGAGAGTTGAACTTGTTCTTTCAACGAGAAAAAAAACAGTAGAATCGGTTGAACTCTCGAGCAGAAAATGGATACATCATCGATTTCATCATACTTGAATCTCTAGATTGGTTGACTTGATTTATCGATCATCAAACCATACCCATCTCTCCTGAAAAACCACTTTGAAAATCACTTTGGTGATAAGATTTAGACCGTACTGACTAAAACCCAAAGGTTTCTACTACAAGGGAGAAGTTGAATTGAAGAACCGAGTTTCTTTAAGATCCGTCCGAAAAAAGAGATTTCTTAATGTTCAGCTACTTTTCGAGAAGCTAAAAACCCCATCAAGGTGACCAAAAGATGATCGATTGGAATATCAAGATCGATGTAAAAAAAACAATGAGTGATGAGAAACTGTTGAATAGGTTAATAAAAACTTAAAATCATACCGAAAGGGTTTCTTGGATCTTTAGCATAAGTAGGAGCTAACCAAAACAAAGGAAAGGAAAGGCATCAGTTTTCAAAAAAGCCAAGAAAAGAAAATGATTAAATAAGACTTACAAGCCAACATTGAATTTTGAACTTTGTTGATTAAGTAAAATGTTACGGCACCACCTAGGATGAAATGACTCATTGGTTTCCATACTGGGGTTGGCCAAGCTCTTAAACCGAAGAAAGACTAATGAAAATGAAATGTTCGAAAACCCAACAAAGAATAAGTTTTGGTTTTTGGTTTTTGGTTTTTGGTTTTGTTATGAATGAAGTTTACCATTTTTTGAATTTGAATTTGTTTGAAAGAATTGGTGTTCGATTTGGAATTGTGTTGAGGTTATGGAAGTGATTGAGAATGAGAATGAGATCGATTGAAAGAGTCAGAGTGAAGGGAAGGTCTCAGTATAAGGATCTTTCAAACGGGGTACTTCGGAATATGCTTATATCCTACTAAGAGCTATACTTAAGTGATACTTAGAATTGGATTGATTAAAATTTAAAGAATAATCGATCGATCGACAACAGAGTTGAGTGAATATTAGCATTTTGGTCAACTTCAGCTGATTCTGTCTCTGGTTCTGGTTCAAAGTCAAGTTCAAAGTCCACCATGAAATCAGAAAAGAAAGAATACTCAAATCCATCAATCAGAAAACAACAACAGTATCCTACTTCAACTCCTCATTGGGATAAACAATTACCTCATCATCCTTCAATCAGATACGATCAAGTAAGTGATCATTCAAACCAATCAATCCATCATACCACATCAAAACTCATCCATGTTTAATTTTCAACAGTCAGTCTTTATTGAAGACTTACGAGAATTAATTCCATTAATACTTTACACGATCATAGGACTAGGTACAAGATTATATAAGATAGGAAGATCAAATACAGTGATATGGGACGAAGCTCATTTTGGAAAATTTGGAGGGTTTTATTTAAATCAAACGTTTTATTTTGATGTTCATCCACCTTTGGCTAAGATGTTAGTAGGCTTAGCTGGTTTCTTATCGGGTTTCAATGGACAATTTGATTTTCCTTCAGGTCAACTTTATCCTTCACATGTACCTTATAGTACGATGAGAATCTTATTGGCTTTACCTGGTGTGGCTTTGGTTCCGATTGCTTGGGCTACGGCTTTGGAATTAGGTTTTACTACTTATACTCGTCATATTGTCACTTTAATGGTTTTGGCCGGTCGGTTCAATTTTTTTAAAATCTCGGGTTTCGAATGATTGGAAGCACTGATCTATTTCGCTGCGGGAATTCTTTACATCATAGATCTTTCTTGGACTGTGATTTCTAGATTTATTTTATTGGATTCTATGTTATTGTTTTTTACTTTTACTACCGTTTATTGTCTTGCTTGTTTTCAAAACCAAAAGAAATAGTTGAGTTCTCTTTCTTCAACCCATCGAAAACCAAAAACCAAATCAAATCAAACATCAAAAATCGCGTCAAAAGTCAAACTATTCTTTAATTCTTTTGAAAATACTTATTAATCTTTCTTTGATCTTGTTTTTTTTGGGGGGGGGGGGTTTAGTCCATTTGATTTCGAATGGTGGTTTTGGCTTTCAATGACAGGTCTTTCAGTAGGATGTGTAACGAGTGTGAAATGGGTCGGATTGTTTGTCACGGCTTTAGTAGGACTTCATACAGCGGAAGAACTTTGGGAAAAGTTTGGTGATCTTGGAATGCCATATGTAGGGTTCTCAGTTTTTGAAACATTGGGATTTTCAGAAGACGGATGATGATGGCGTTTTTGTAACGAGTTCTGACTTGAGGATTGTTTTTTTTTTGGAGGCTCATAGCGAGTTTATGCTCGGCATTGGGTTGCTAGAATCGTTTGTTTGATTGGACTTCCTATGATGGTTTATATGTTATGTTTTAAGATTCATTTCCTAAGTTAGTCATCTTCTCCTTGATCGTTTATTTTCACTTTTGTTAATTGATCTTTGATTTATCCATTTCTTCACAGTTCTTAATCGTTCTGGACCAGGTGATGCTCAAATGAGTTCATTATTTCAAGCAAATCTTTGGGGAAATGATTTTGCTCGACATCCATTGGGTTCGTACAGAAGTTTGATCTGATGATTTACTTGTGAAAGATTTTAATCATGGATATCTTTTTCTAGAAATCGCCGTAGGATCAAGAGTGACGTTTAAAAATATGGGATATGGTGGAGGTTTATTACATTCACATGTTCAAACGTTTCCAGTTGGATCTCAACAACAACAAGTGACATGTTATCATTATCGTGATGTAAGTGAATCCGACCGATCTACTCTTGAAGCAAATCATAAAATCCTAAGTCAGGCCTTTGAATTGATTTCAATAGAATAATAATGAATGGATGATCACGCCACTTTTACATGAAGAACCTTATAGCGAATCCCAACCGATCCGATTTCTCAAACACGGAGATGTAGTAAGACTAGTTCACATCATGACGGGTCGAAACTTACATAGTCATGAGATCCCAGCCCCGATCACTAAAGTGAATAAAGAAGTAGCATGTTATGGGAATGCAACGATTGATGATAGTAATTCATATTGGGTAATAGAAGTGATTGATGATATTTTAAGAGGTAAAAAAGAAAGATTTCAACATATCAATACACTTTCCACTAGGTTTCGAATTCGACATTTGAATTTAGGTTGTTATCTTAAAGCTGATAATAAAGTCTTACCTCAATGGGGTTTTAAACAAGTTGAAGTGTCGTGTGATAAAAAGAATAATCCTAATGATAAACATACTTTTTGGAATGTAGAGAGTCATATGAATGGAAGATGTGAGTTGATTTTTGATTGATTATGAATCCAAGAGATTCAAGGTTTGGATTATGATTATTTTGTTTCGAAAAAAAGTGAAGATTGAAGTTTTGATGGATTTGATTTGATTTGATTTTGGTAGTACCACCTGGTGATATGAAAGTGATGAAATCACCATTCTTACATGATTTTTGGCATTTGAATATAGCTATGATGACTTCGAATAATGCATTGATACCAGATCCAGATAAACAAGATGCGATTGCTTCACATCCGTTTGAATGGCCATTTCTTTATACTGGGATGAGAATGAATGGTTGGTTTGAGAATGGGATTAAGTTTTATTTGATTGGAAATCCGATTACGTGGTGGACTTCTTCTTTTTCTTTATTGGTTTATTCTGTTGGATTGGTTTGGTATTTGGCAAGGTTCAAGAGACAGTTTAATGATCTTAGTTTGGCTCAATGGGATCAATTTATTTGGGTTGGCAAAGTCGGTCTTGGTGGTTGGTTATTACATTATTGTAAGTTTTGGGTTTTTTCTTCTTTGGATTCATTTTGATTTGATTATGATTTTAAATTGACTAATGAAGTTTTTCATTTCTTGACAAAACCAACCCCCCCCCCAAAAAATTATTAGTACCATTCTTATTTATGGGTAGAGTGACTTATTTACATCATTATTTACCTACTCTATGGTTTGCGATCATTACCTGTGGATTATGTTTTGATCATTTTATCTTTAGATCTAAAACCATCAAACCGATTCATAAGAAAATTATTTTTTATTTGATGGCTAGTTTGATTACTTTTACTGGGATTTGGTTCAAAGATTGTGCTTGGGGTATCGAAGGTCCTATTAATCAGTATAAAGGTAGACAATGGAGAAAGGTAATGTTCTTTTTTTTCCCCACCTTCTTGTTGTCTTGGAAAAGAGGTTTTTTTGATTTTTTTTTTTTGCTTTTTTTTGATATGTAGTCTTGGAATATTTATGATGATCATTTAGCTTTATAATAAAATTAAAAAGAGTTCATCCGATTGATGAAACAAATTAAAACTATTTTTTTCTTTAACCCACCCTACCCTTACCAATATGTATACTGATTCTTTGTTGTGATAAAATAAATCAAGTTAACTAAATTATATAAAGATAAACCATTGAGAAAAAAAATAGATAATATAACTTATTTGTAATTTGAATAAATGTTGAAAAACATTACATAGTAAATCGACTTGGATTAATTTTATACTTTATATATATATATATAGTATGTAATTTATTAGATTTTTCTTGAAACTTTGGAAACAGGTTTTGTAATGAGAATTGAAGATTTGGAAAATGAAGTGACTGTGTGGGTTGATTGGTTTGATTTGGATACCTTTTTTATGTTAAGATTTGAAGATCTCAAATCAAGGTGGGTTGTCTTGAATGAGAAAGTCGTTAACACATTGAGAACTAGCACTGGCATGAATGATTTTGGTTGGTTTATAGTACAGTCTCTGGTTCATGATGGGTTTGAGAAATAGAAGATGTGTGAAAGTTAAACTTGTAAAGAAAGTGTTTGATGAAATTTGTTTGGTTAAGGAAACCAATCTTAAAATCTGGTATCTTATTGGAAATGGATGTGAGTCACATTAACACCACTTTTTACCACCCTTGGGACTTCTTTCTTTAGAGGGGTTTGTGCAATTTATAGGTTTTTACCTTGGTTGACTTCTTTCAACACTCAGGGTCACAGAATTGGTTTGCTGGTTTGTTTATATTGTCTTAAGCTCATCTGATCAAGATGTTGTTTCAATACCTATTTTAAAAGCTTAGCCAGTGACCAAAAAGCTTAGTAGTAGTAAACTTGGTTGAGTGGTTTGTTTATGATCTGTCAATCAAATGTGAACTCAATACACATGAACACTTAAACAAGCAATGGGTCGAGCTTTACTAAGTTTTTCAGATCCCTGATATTGGATGTGAGTCTTTTGGGGTTGGAAAGGTTTTGGTGGAAGACACACTGATGAATCATGCTTCATAGTATTAGGGACTATGTAGTAAAGTGTGATGACTGTTTGAAAGGATTGAAAATGTCTTGTGGTATTTGGCTAGCACATGAAGATCAAATGAGTATTTGATGTACACCTCCCCATGCCTAGGATTTGTAACCATTCACCATGTCCGTGTGGTGTTTGCTCATCGACGAGCGCACACAAGTCGCCTTTGTGCCTCAAAGGCAGTCCGTGTGCGCTTGTCGTTGGGCAACTGCCACAAGGACATGGTGATTGGGTATGGCACCAAAACCCGGCACTGAGATCCTCCTCACATAGGTTTCCATTAACACTCAATATGCTTGCCTATAGAAAAAGCCCCAGTACCACTGCAAAACTTGAATGATTATGTAAATCACTTGGAGGGCACTACAATTCCCTTTGAGTAGTGTATGTAATCACTCAGTTCCCGAAACACAACCAGGGAAGAACAGTACCAGGGAAGATTTCATAGACAGGAATTTTGACATATGACTGTGAACTATCTAATGCAACATATCAACTCATGAGGACATGGACAGTTGTAAACAAAGACTTACTTGAGAGAAAAAAAAATGATCAAGGCAATGTACAGCAACCTGTTAGGATTAGTTTGACTTGAAGTCTATGTCAAAAGCAGTGTGAAACTGGGTCTTGGTATCAATTGAGCCCAGTGATTATGGATTGTAGGTGTGGGGATGTGTACAATACAGATCATCCAGCTCCTTGTGATTGTTACGGGTGACGGTCTCAAGGGTCTCAGTTGCTGTGTTTCAGCCTCAGCGTGGCGGTTATCCTCACCAATCCCATGCCTTTCTTTCCATATAAATTGTATTTAGTTTCTATGTTTTGTCCACTTTTGTTAGTTAGTTAGAAATAAAACCTTTTCCGTTCCAACAGGTTATGAGCCCTCCGCTCACTCGCGCACAAGAATCAGAAAACTCAGACATTGTCGCCTTTTTAGTTCCAAACTCATCTTTGTCAAATCCAGCTTCTTTATCCAATCAGTCTAAAGGTACTGCAACCTTACTCTAGAATAAACTTGTTTTTTTTGTATTCTGCCATCTTTTGTGTCACTTTGTGACTCTCGTTCTTTCGGTCAATCTTCTGTGATTGACGCCCTTGTAAATTTTTTTTCATTTTACTTGTTGTGACAAGTATCTAGTTCAAATTTTGAAGAACTCACCATGTCCAAATCCGATAACTCTCCATCTGCCGGAGCAGTTTTACTTTCAAAAGTCTTCAAACTTGATCAAGTGAAGACATTTACTCGCGATGGGTCCAACTGGGATGAATGGGACTATGATATCGTACATTTTTTGGTTTTCACACCTGGCGCCAAATTCTACCTTGATCCTTCGATGGTGACAACACACAAATCCTACGATGTGGAGAAAGCTGACTATGTAGATGGTGTTTTGAGTTGGACCATTGTCCGGTCATTAGGATTACCCATACAACACTTAGAAACTCCGGCAGCAAAGTATGCTGCTTTGAAGTCTCAATTTTCTGGTATCTCGTTTGCGGCTAGAGTAGCCAATCTCCGACAAATCATCTCGATGAAATTTGATTCAACCACTACGACTATTGATGCGCATCTAGCATTGATGAGGGACACCAGTGATTGACTTTGGAGAATCGGTCTCTCCCTGGGTGATGACACTTTGGCAATCTTGCAACTGATCAGCATGCCGGACAACTTCAAATTCCTCGAACATACATTTGAATACAAGATCGACTCAAACAAGAAGTCTTCTATATCATCGGGTGAGATGTCTCGCGCGTTATCAGCAGCTGCTGTTTCTCTCGGACAAGCCTGGCTCGCAGCGTAGTGAGAAGCGCGCAGCGCGACGGTGCGCTGTGTGCGCCGCTGCCGCTTAACTACCCGGGTAGCCAAAAACCCGGGCGCAGCGCTTTTTGTTATGAATTCGGGGCCAAATTTATTTAAACTACGCACCCGGCTACTGGAGCCGGGTCGTCAGCCACCTTTCAGTTAACCCAACTCACCCCACGCTATCTGTACCACGCCACCCATCGATATCCATCAGATTGTCCCCCTTTCGAAATCTCTCCACAGAACCTCATCAGCGCCATTTTCCATCGAAGAGATCAAACACACAGATGTCCAAAGCCCACCAAAGGAAACGAAGGGGCTGTTGTTATGGGAAAAGGCAAACGCACGATTCTTTTTGGAAAGTTATAAAGGTAAGCACCCCCCAATTTTTCTCACTTCATTGACTACATACCTTATAGTTGTTAACCAGCGTATTATTTGTCTTTAATCCAATAGACCATCAAAAGTTCCAATCTTATTTCATCTTATAAACAATCTATCAAATTTCTCTATTTTTCATCGAATATCATAAATAAAAAGACTAACATGTTGACCAAACAAACCACCGTCGATTCTTTCCTGAACTCTGGATACGATACTGATGATGCATCTGCTCCCCCAACCTCATCTGTTCTACCTCGTCGATCTTCTCGAGTCGTCACACCGGCCAGAAAAGCACCTGGGATGATAACCCCCAGTTCGGACTCTTGACAAGCTCTTGAGGACTTCAACTCGTTCCGATCCATCCGGGATGTCAGAGACGCGCACGTCCACCGACGTCGAGAGAGATCTGCCTCCTTACCCTCACCGGGCAATGAGTTGATCCGTGTACCAGCTCAACCAGCTCGTGGTCGATCAAAGACAGTCACACGTCCCTCATCGACAGTAAGTGACTCTTGCTTTTTGTTTTGTTCATCTCATTCATGACAAACATTTTATTTTCGGTTTCATACTTCCACTAGGTCACTAGTACCTCCAACAGCCAAGGCACTGAATCGAACAAGATAGATTCCCGTTTAAATAACTTAATTGGATCTAACCAGGTTTGTTTCGGGGCCTCACAAAGCCAAGCAAGTTTTGAGGTGAGTGGTAATGGCGATGATGTATCACTAAGCAATGTTTCATTACTAATTTTTTGGTAAACTTCTGCTGTTCATCGAACTCATGCATAGGATCTGTCTGGACCTCCTGTGGTGGACCTGGCACAGGATTCTGACAAAGATAACGCTCGGATCCGAAAGAGAAAAAGGAATAAGCCCGCCAAACAAGAATATGATTGTCCGTTCTCATACTTTGAGCCAGGCTTCCATTGTGAAGTAAAAAAAGATGTAAGTAAAATCGTAACTTATCAATTTTATTCCATATATTTTGTTGGCTATCAAATCATGAATACATACATAGCTGATTGTTGAACTGTTTCATTAGCCTCTGGATGGACCACCACTCTCATACAAATGTCGATCGTGCGGACAGGTTGTACGAGTGAGCGCGAGCTCTCGATCTAATCTCAAGGGTCACCGCGATGGACACAACCAGCCTGGTAAATCTGGAGCCGGGTGTCCTCGCCGTCGGCAGGCCATTGCGGCCGGAGCCAAGCTGCCTCCTACCGTGTCCGAGCTACGTGCTCAAGCTCTCAAGGATACGAACCAATCTTCCCTTGCTTCCTTTGTCAACACGGCACCGGCCTTCAACAACCAAACACTCAACCAGTTACTTGCGGTATGGCAAGTAGCACATGCCTTGCCGTTTATCAGAATCAAAGACCCCATCCTCAAGTCAATCTTGTATTGGTTACGGCCTGACGCCCGTGTTTTTGGTAGAAAGTGGTCCGCTGATGAGGCAAAGAGACTCTATCTCTCACTGCGTGATCAGGTGATTGATCAAGAGCTCAAAGTATGTCTTCAATTTTTCAAGTTTTTTGTCTTTGTTTCCTTTTCCTTCCTTCCCCTTGCTTTTTCCTGCCTTCCTCCTCTTCATTTTATTTTTGAGATCTTATTTGGACCTTATTTGACTGACATTTCACTATCTCTCACTAATCTTATAGGAATTGTCTAGCAAGTTTTGCTTGATTCAGGACGTCTGGACCGTGAAGGGCAATCTTCATGCGTTCATCGGTGCATTGGTTTCCTACATCAAGGACGACTGGACATATGTAGTCCGGCATTTAAGTATGAAGGTTGTTGCATGGCATCATAGGGTTGACTTACTTGCCGAGCCTATGGTGGCACTATTGAAAAAGAATGATTTATATAAAAAGATAAGTATATTCTTTTTATCTTTTTATCTTCCCTTTCCCGTTTTGTGTCCTGATTTTTCTTATTTTGTTTCCTTTTACATGCTAGCCAGTGTCTCTGACTCTGGAAGCAACAATTTCACAATGGCGCGTGAAATGCATCGCCAGCTTGAGATAGAAGGGCTTTACTTGGGTCATCAGCTTTCTTGGA